CACGAGCCTCCTTCAGATCGGCAGACAGCTCGAAGCCTCTACCCTTAAGTTCTTCCAGGGTCTCCCTCCTCGCCTCCGCTTTGGCGTGCTCGATAGCTCGAATTCGTCTCTGCTCAGCTGCCGTGGACATGTCGCGAACCATTGTATGCGCCGTGGTCGCATCCTCCCTATAAATGGCAGCATCTCGTTTGGCATCAAACTTATCCACGATCAAAGTAACAATCTCCCTGCGAGCGTCCATGAGAAGACCATGGGATGTCATCAATTCCCCGGCCACAATCTCGTTTCGCTCTTTCAGCTCGGAGACCTCCGCTTTCAACTGGCTAATCCGCGAGTTAATCTGCTCGACCTACGAAGAAGGGCAAGTCGACGAATACATGAATCCAGAACATGAGTGGATATGAGGTAAAAGGGCGTGCATGAGTGAGGCAGAGTACCTGAGCAGCAAGAGCGGCCTTCTTCTTGAGCGCCGCCTCCAAAGCAGTCCAAAGTTCTCCCAACTATCTGTCCCCCTGGGCACAATGAGCCTCCGAGTCCTGCAGTTTGGAAGCAATGTTATTACGCTCCTTCTCTTGGCAAAAACGTTCCCCTCAGAGTCGAAGAATGGCATGATCATAAATCTCCTTACACTGTGGCACAATGAGAAAGTTAAGAAAGAAGGCGTATAATGCCCGAGAACGAAAAGGAATATGCAAGGGAATACTATCACCTGTTTCATGGACTTCTCCGCCGCTTTAACGACACCGAAAATATTGAGATCGGCCCTGTCGATTACGCCGTCAAAAATATTGGCAGTAAAATCTCCCCCTTTTAGAGGGGTCCCGGCTGTGACGCCGACCATCCTTTCGGCATCCCTTAGCTCCTCTGATGAAATCGGAAATCTCAAAATGAGGTCGTTTGGTTCGCCAATTTCTCCAAATTGCAGTCCACGCTATTGGAAAGCCCCAAGTTCTAGTCCTTTAGGATCAATGCCAACGGTCCTCCTAGCAGAAGCTACATCAGTGTCCTCTTCAAGGACCCTTTGCTCACCAGCCCGGCCAGAGCCAGCCGTCCCGGATTCAGCAGCCTCCGATCGGGGCGCCTGCAAATCTCTCGCACCGGACCTTGTTCTCCTCCTCAACGAACTTCCATCATCGTCCTCCCCCTCGACCTCAAGATTCGATCCGTAGGTTAGAGCAGTAGTCCTATCAGGTCGGGCAATGGTTGCTCAGCTCTTCCTTTTCTTGTTCATATCAGGCTCCAAGGCCTCCGCTTCACCATTAGGGGGTGGCCTCATCTGCATATTCTCACCAAGGCTTGCACCAACACAATAACCGCGATACGTTTTCGCTAAGGGCTCGGAAGGAAATACAAAATGCGAGGCACATGTGGTAAAGGAACCTCACCGTGATTCTTGGCCACCCAACGCTCCTTAGTCATGATGGTCCAAGACCGAACGCGGTATAGGAACTTCTCGTCCAGACACCTGATCCATCCTAACAACTCTAGGACCACCTCCGGATGCCAAGCAGCTGCTGTAAAAAACACAAAGAGGTTATTACAATGAATGAAAGAGTAATTGAGAAGTGGTTAAAGGGAAATTCGCTTATGCCGAGCATTCTACTGCTCCGAAAAGGGCATCCTCCGGGCCGGGATGATGTCCGAGGTCCTCACTCGGATAAATCTGCTCATCCATCCTCGATCCTTTCCCTTATCAATGCTCGTGAAAAAAGAGTTTTTGGATCGGTGGCGGAGCTTGATTAAGCCTCGATACAGCCGAGGGCGGTACAGTCTTATCAAATGGCTAAAGGTGAAAACTTCACCTTTAAACCCTTCGGTGAAATGCCTAAGCATTAACACTATCCTCCAAAGGATGGGTAGATCTGACCTAGGGTCACCTGATATTGGGCGCAGAAGTCAAGAATAACCGGGTCGATCTCCAAGGGAGGAGATTCAATGGATTAATCAAGGCCCAGGGTGAATGGGTAAGTATATATGTGAAGGAAGCCCGCCTTGAAATCGGTGATGCTATCGCTGGGGCCGGGAATCTCTATTTCCGCTTCCTCGTTCCATCGGCAGTCCGCCCTCACTTTGCTAATATCGAGACACGTGCTCACACCGACCCAGCATAGATGAGGGAGTCTCGATGTCGAAATCCTTCGACGTGTTAATATCAGGAGGAGTCCATTGCTCTAAAGTGGGAACCGATTTGTTTTCTCCCTTAGGTAATCGGTACGACGACGCAACATCGTTCCGTCGGGGGACCGTCCTAGAAGTCCTAGCCATAAAAAATGGTAAAAACCCTTCTGTGAAAAGAAGGAAGGATGTCAAATAGCAAAATTCTGATTCGCGGTCTTGTAAGAAGGGTGACGATGGGAAGTGTCTAGCAACCGGTGCATTTATAGGAATCGTTGGGGAAGTAGAAGAGACCAGCCTATGGCAGTTCGTGGGTTTTTCGATAACCGAATCTGACGGCGGCCCTGCACGATTCTCTGGGGCATGGCATTTAATGCTCTTAGATGGTTGATGTCATGGAAATAATGATCTCGAGACGACGATTCAATATCGTTTCCTATTACTTCGTTCTAAGAAATGCGAAGACTATCTGTATGTGGTGAAATCAGGGGGATCTATTTCCTGCCATTAAGGTACATTCGGAAAGTCATGTCAGCATCTCGAGCTCCCTCTCTCGAGGATCGTCTACAACCCTGTAGAGACTCCAAGGATAAGGAATCTATCCGCGACCCAGCAAAATTTATGAAGATGGAGGACTCCCGAGGCAAGCGGCTAGAGTCAATAGGCACTAGTACCATACCTAGCCGTCCCATCCCCATGTCCTTTCATTCAATACACTTTGTACTATATGTATTCCCTCTCCTATATAAGGGGGATCCATGCCACTTTGTAAGGGACTGATGTTGCTCCATTTTCTCCACAAGTGCAATAATATCTCTCTCTCTCTCTCTCTCTCTCTTTTCTTTATAATCTTGCTCGTTCTCACTGGTCCGAGGACACCTCAATATTCATCGCGTTCTTACTCGTTCTTCATCATATACCTAAGTATTGGCCATAAAGAGCCTCGTTTGATTATATCTTCAACTGTTATTCCATCCCCGACTATCGCCGATAGCTTGAGCTCAATCCTGACATCGACCCCGAGGTCCTTTATCGGTCGGACTTGTATCCGGGCAGCAGGCCCTTCGATTTGATTATTATCTCGTTTTAGCTTGCATTTAATCTTCAAACTCCATATTATTAGCATCAACTGCTCTAACAACTAGCTCAGGAATAGATCACATATTTTTAGAATCCTATTTACAAATTTAATTGTTGTTACCATTATCACAGTAAACATATGCATCATGCTGCATTAGACATCATGTTATAGGATCACACTTATTCAATCACACCTAGTCTAAACACAGAGGTATAAATGGTCCTCCTATTCTAAACAAACTATTAATTAGTCTCTGGATGTTTGCAACATTTAGAGTTGATGAAGGGTTTCCTTACTTGAAGTTGTTGCTACTGGAACGTTTGAAGATTCGTTATTGGAGAGCCAGTTGCGATCACTTTCCATGCCTTGAACGACTGTTTCTGGAACGTTGTCTTGGTTTGGATTCAATACCTCAAGATTTCACAGATATAACCACACTTGCTCTGATTAATGTTAGCAGTTGTGCAGAATCTGTTGGGAATTCCACTAAGCAGATTCAACAGGACATTCAAGATAACTATGGAACATCTGTTGAGGTTACTATTGTTAGGCATGTGAAAGCCAAGAATATTTACTTTAGTTAATCTATTTCTGTTTGATTGTTAGGCCTGTGAAAGCCAAGAATATCAATTTTTAGAGCTCTTTTGAAATAGTTTTGTAATGCGAATGCAAATAAATTAAGTATGGAGCTTTTAGTTGGTTTTCCTAATGCATCTTCCCCATATAAATATGGCTATTTGTGGGAGAGTATCTTTTTTCTTATTTCTCTTCCGTTTCTTAGATTCTGATGTTAGATTCTTTTGTGTTACAATGTGATCTAAAGTTAGATTCTTTTGTGTTTTCCTTATTTTTTCTGATATCAATATTAGTCTCCTTCTTCCAGCAAAACCAAAAAAGAAGGGTCAATGATTTACATTTTGCTTTTGATCCTATTATAGTATTCGAGCTTTTACAACTCGTGTGTTTTGCGATTCGAATCGTGGCATCTTAGGCACATTGGAAGAAAATGCAGATTTCAAGTTCCTGAAGTATTCTTTTGGTCATCAAGAAACTGGCTTTCTATGGGACTTGTTTGCGGTGGAAGGATTTAAGCATTGTTTTGGTACTTGCAAAATCTTGAGGGATTGAATCCAAACTCTCATCTAAAGTTTTATGCTTGGGTTGGGTCTATTATTACATTGTAAGAGGAGAACTCAACTGGTTAGAGATTGAAGGCATAGTTGATTGATGATTGAGTATATTTCTATTTGATCTCTCACTAAATTTTCGTGTTTGCGCTTGATCTACTTATTTAAGAGCAAGGGTGCCAACCCCAACTAGTTTGGGATATTAGATCACGATCTAAAGTTGTCTTTCGGGTGGATCTAATTGTTTGCAGAGCAAGAGGAGCCACATATGAAGAGAAAAGTGTTGAGGTTATCAGAATCATTCAGCCAAATAAAGGAAGTGAATTTGATGCTGCCAACCTCCACATCCAAGGAGCTCGAGGAAGATCCTCTCAAGTCTGTTGAATGTTCGCAGCGGTGGAAAATCAAAAGCGCCTATGGTGACATCGGCCTCAAGTATAGGGAGGATGAAACAGTGGCCTCAAGTATAGGGAGGAGGAAGAAACAATTTTTGGAAAAGTATAGGGATGATGTTCCTGAAATTTCATATCAACACGAAAACTCAATTTCTCGAGCTGATCTAAATACCAAAGATCATGAAGAGAGTTCTTTTGACAACTACGCATGTAGTCTTCTTCGCTACCACATATCTGCAACTTCTTTAGTTTGGGAAGTAGTCTAAAGAAAGACCAATCACATTATAAAGGATTCCATCCAGACAGATGCTGCAAATTTTTCAAAACCAAACTTCTCTCTCCGGACACAAAATTACTAGCGTAATTCCAGTTCAAAGTTTTCAAATCACAACTTTTGTCACTTGAATTAAAATGAGTCATATAATTCCAGTCCAAACAGAGGTACCTCAAATGCAACATGTCAAAAATTTCCATTGGTAATCTGAAACGATGAGGCCTATAACAGGATCTCATATTCTTAAGATGAAGAGTTTGCAGATAATGAAGACTAGCTATGGACAGAGGAACAAGAATTATTGAATTCATGAAGGAGAAATCAATAGAAACACCCAAAGAAAGATATCTCAAGTGAATTAATTCGAGAATGAAACTAGGTAAAGAAGGATCTGCCAATTCCACATTATCAAGAGCTAACACTCGTAGTAGCTTGATGTTTACCATCTCTGGAATTACGTTGCACGTGCGATATGTAGAAAATTGGAACATAGAACGCACCTCATTATCACGAACCAATTGGATACTAATCCGACCTCGACTCCCAAAGGGAAAATGCATGGATTGACCACATAAATTTAGATCATTGTTTGTTGAAATAACTTCCACAAAATTCGTGTTCCTAGCTTCTTTCAAGCAAAGTTCACGGATCATATCATGCATTCCACAAGTTGCGATTTTTCCATCAAAACTGAAACGAGAGGTAATTAAATTTCTATCTATAAGATCATTTAGACTTTCTTCTTCCACTTGTTATATGCTTTTCATCTCTATCTTCCTTAGAAATCCTTCTGCAACCCATAGTCTCGTAACCAGGGGCGGCCCAAGGGTCAAGCCACTAAAGCAAAGGCTTTAGGCCCCCAAATTTTGAGGGCCCCAAATTTTTCTTTTTGTTTTCTACTCATATTCGTATTAAGCGCCCGATTAATCTAGATTCGTACCGCATAAGACCTAGTAAAAGGGAGAACACATTTTAATAGGATTTATTTTAACAACAGGACTCGAACACAATATAACGTAAGTTGGATCATATATATCACAACAATCTTTAGAGGTAGGGTCTAAATATATTGGGTATGTTAAAATAAAAAAAATAAAATATTTATAAAAAGTAAATATGACTTTTAATTTAGTATTGATGTAACCGTTTAAGCAAAAATTGGAGAAAGAGAATTACTCCTTCTAAACCCTTGTCGCGAATATAAAACTTTTCATTATTTAAATTTTACGATTGACATCATTAGTGAGGTACCTCTATTATTATTCTCCTTTACATTTCTCACTAAAAACGTGTAATAAACTTACATAATCCATTTTTTTTGGTATCTTCAATAGTCCAAGTCTTATTTTTTTTTATCTTTATCGTCATAAAACGGATACTACATTCTTATATTCTCTTCTTTGTTTCTACAAAAAAAAACTTAGGTTCTCGATAAGTTATATTATTCTCTGTAGAAAAAAAGAGTTTTATTTTTTCTATAAAAAACAAGAGTTGAAGAGTACCGTTGAATAAAATTATATTGCGCATTCTTTTTTTTTCTTTTTTTTCCTCCTCAGATTTCAAGCATTTCAACATGTATATTAGAATATCAAAAATTATTTCGATATCAAGTTATAAACTTCTTGAATCTGGTTCTATTATCTAAGATCAACAATATCTTAGGAGAGATTAAATTATTTATAAAAGAAACTATTAATAACTTACATCTTAAAAAGATAGAAAAATAGACTTCTATTAAAAATATAGATGATTTTTTTTTCCTTCTGAAAGGCCGTAGATTAAAAATTGGCTTTAGGCCACCAATCTTCTTGGGCCACCTTTGCTCTTAACTTTACTAACACTAACAATTTCATCCTTTGGGAAGATGGCAAAATATAAGAAACAAGACTTTAAATGATGAGGCAAGTGATGATAACTTAAAGCAAGCACTCTCATGCATTGGACGTCAACATCTGTGCTTAGTGCTGAAGTTACATTCTCGGCAACACTTTTCCACTCATCCACTGTTTTACCAATTCTAGAAAGAATTCCAGCAACCACAACAATCGATAGAGGCAATCCTCTGCATTTTAATGCAATTTGCTTCTCGAGTTGTTCGAATTCAGGAGGAAAATTTTGCTTCACGAAAAACTTTTCCTACAATAAATTCCAACATTTATCAAAATTCAAGAAACTCATTTGGAAAGGAGGCTTACCTGATCTAGCATATTCAGTCAACTCTATATTCCTAGTAGTCACAGTGCTGGCCCAAGGGGGAGGCAACTAAAGCAATTACTTTAGGCCCCTCCTAAATAATGCACTGCCTTGTCTTGACAGTTAATTTTGACCTCTCATCTTTAGGCACATGTACAAAAGCTTTGCAACCAAACACTTTCAAGTGGTCATAGGAAATATCCTTGCCATACCAAACTCTGTTTGGAATATCACTTTGTAAAGCAACCGCAGGGGATAGATTAATAACATGTGCGGCGGTCAACAAAGCATCACCCCAAAAGGAATTCGGCAACTTTGCTTCAGAAAGCAAACATCTAACGCTTTCCATCAAGGTCATGTTCATCATTTCTGCTAAACTCTGGAGAGTCTTAGGAGGAGTCTTCTAGTGTCTGATACCATGTTGCTTGCAATATTCGTCAAACGGTCCACAATATTCACCACTGTTATCAGTACGAATACACTTAAGCTTCTTTCCAGTTTCTTTTTCAACTGAATCCAAAAACTACTTAAAGACACCCAACACTTGGTCTTTAGTCTTCAAGATGTAGACCTAAAGTTTCCTTGAGCAATCATCAACAAAGGTAGCAAAGTAAAGTGCACCACCCAAAGTCCTTGTCTTCATTGGACCACATAAATCTAAATGCACCAACTCAAGCAACTCTGTCTTTCTTGAAGGAGGATAAGACTGAAAAGAAACTCTTTTTTGTTTTCCATCCAAGCAATGCTCACATTTTTCTAATTTTGCACTTTCAAAATTTAACAACAATTTCTTCTTGGCCATAACATTTAGTCCTTTCTTGCTAATGTGGCTAAGCCTCTTATGCCATAACATTGAAGAGTTATTGCTATCAATGACATTCACCATATCAACACAGGTAGAGGCCGTAATCTAGTATAGACCACAATGCTTTTTCCCATGAGCCACAATCATGGAACCCTTAGTGAGCATCCACTTTCCAGCACCATTGGTACTGACATATCCCTCATCATCCAAAACACCAACAGAGATCAAGTGCAAACGAACATCAGGTGCATGCTTTACATTGTTTAAAACTAGTTTAGTTTCAATACTAGTTTTCAAACAAATCGTTCTAACACCAGCGACCCTAGATATAGTTTCATTACCCATACTCAAAGTTCCAAAGTCACCGTGAGTATAGGATGAGAAAAATTCCTTCCCTGATGTCACATGAGATGCGACACCACTGTCCACAACCTATCTTGACTCATCACAAGCAATATTTATCGAATCCATATCAAGGATAGTAACAAAATCTTCTGTAGTGACGATGCCCACACGATTGCCATCTTCTTTCTATTCTTCCTTATCTCTATACTCCTTTTTCAAAATCTGGCAGAACTTCTTTGTGTGCCCTTTCTTCCCGCAATGATAACACTCAATATCTTTAAGTCTGCTTCTGGATTTGCTTCTATTATGTTCTCTATTTTGGGAACCCCGATTCTTACTTCTCCCCCTAGAGTCATTCACCAAGACATCTGATGAAGAGGAACCCTGAGATTTTCTTCTAATTTTTTCTTAAAAGGTCGCTCTTAGCAAGATCCATAGAGATCACAACATCCGAAGCAGAATTTGATAATGAAGTTCTAAGAACTTTCCAAGAATATGGTAGGGAACCAAATAGAAATAAGCCCTGAATTTCTTCATCAACTTTAATGCCCCTAGAAGACAACAGGTTCATGATCCCCTAAAAATTATTCAGATGATCTCTCATCACGGAACCATCATGGTATTTTAAACACAAAATCTACCCTATCAGAAACATACTGTTGTTTCCAGTTTTCTGAGCATACAAACTTTCTAGGTGCTCCCATAGGGTCCGAGCATGTGTCTCCCCAGAAATATAGTTCAAAACATTATCGTCAACCCACTGTCTAATAAAGCCGCAAACCTGCCTGTGTAACAAATTCTACTCGTCATCTGATTTATTATCAGACTTTGTAGTGGTGAAGACAGGTTGATGAAAATTCTTGACATAGAGCAAATCTTTCATTTTGCCCTTCCAAATGGCATAATTTGTGACACTCAAAGTAACCATTCTACTAGTGCTGGCTTCCATCGTTTATCACAAATACAAGTACTATTTATTAGGAGACCAAAGTAATTCTTCTTTGATGTGAAAGTTCAGACTGTGTTGCAACCACATAGCATATATACTCAGACAGAACCTTGGCTCTAATACCACTTGTTGGAAAAAAAATAGACTCGCAAAAATAATATTCACGGTATTAGTGATAAATGTGGAACACTAAGTTATGATTAAATCAGCAAGAATAGAAATACAACAATAATAACACCAAGATTTTACGTAGAAACCCTTTCGAATAAGGGAAAAACCACAGCCAAAAAGAGCAACTGATATCACTATAACGAGAAATTTTACATTGTGTAATAACGAGTACAAATACTCCTAAGACCACTATACCCTCAAAAAAAATACTCTTTTGCTTTTTCCACCTTACTACAATATCTCTCAAACTCTATTTTTCTTCACATACTATTTTCTTAGTCTATGGAATACTTGGTCTTTCTCTTACTCAAATGTATTGTCTGAGATTTTGGTATGTAGAAATGAGTGTTGAAGCTTTCCTTTTATAGCCAAAACCTCATCTTCTAAAGCCTACAATATTTGACAATTTGCACACACTTTTCACAATTTCAACATAGTTGGCTACCAAACCAAACCAAGTCAACAAGATTGGCTACCAAACCATACCAATTCAGGAAGGTTGGCTACCAAACCAAAGAAACTTTCCTTAGGCTCATGCCTAAAACATATATATATATATATATATATATATATATATATATATGGGGGAAAGATTATGACATTATATACGCACCACCACCTGATCAGCTGGTATACGCTGATGATTTGCCCACAATGGCCGAAATGATATGATGGGATGCCCTCAGAGGCGTGATGATGTTATGGCGTTATATACGCGTATATATATATATATTTATATATATGTATATGTGATATGCAAAAGATTATGGCATTATATATGCACCACCACCTGATCAGCTAGTATATGTTGATGATTTGCCCATAGTAGCCGAGATGATATGATGGGATGCCCTCAGAGGGGTGATGATGTTATGAACACATGTACCTATGCATGACATGACATTTATACGCATATGCATGACCTTATAAGTATTTCATGATTTACAGTTTGAGTCCGTTACTCTATGTTTCTTACATGTCCTTTATATACTTATCTACATGCCTTACATACTCAGTACATTATTCGTACTGATGTTCTTTTGTTGGAGACGCTGCATTTATGCCTGCAGGTATAGATAATCAGATTGACGAGCCCTCATAGTAGACGAGATTGACATTCAGAAAGGATCGGTAAGACTCCACCTCATTCGGAGTGTAGCCAAGTCTAAGAGTAGTTATGTCAGAATTTTGTTACAGTC